AATACTTTTCAAAATCTTGCAGTATAAAAAAAATTTTATTTGACAAATTATTTAGGGTGGAACAAATTAAACATCTGCTAAGTAATTTATTGCGAAATTTTAATACAACTTTGAACTGGGTTGTATTGTGTGATATAAGAATTAATTGCAATGTTGATTAATGTAAATATATTTGAAGATCTAAAATTAAAAATTATAAAAATGTGAAGAAAGAGTGAAGCCTGAAGCGCCTTAGTGTCATTACAATGTATAGAGTAATATAATAATAGGTCTGGGATAATAAAGTTTTTAAAAACTTTTAAAAACTTTATAAAGTTTTTGCATCTAAAGCGTCTAGGGTAATATTTTTTGAACAAAAATGAGAGAAAATGATGACTCGCTAAATTAAAAAATGTCCGAAATATTTTTATCTTCTCAAACTAGGCGTAAAAAATTTGCGAATAAATTTTTTTCACAAAATTGCCGCTTAATAGTGAAATAAACTTATTTCAATAAAATAATATTTTTTTAATTTTTTAAACTAAACTTGTTGGACCCCAAGTTCCAAAAAGAAATTCTTAAAAAAATTAAACCCCAAAGAATTTTAAATTATATCAAATTCGATGTGAAAGATTTTAGAAAATGCGAAATAGGAATTTTTTTGATAAACCATTTTCAAGAATGATTTGAATAAGCTATATGAGTACCAAATGTATTAAACTGGCGCAAAATTCAAATATCATGAGTGATTTTGAAAAAAAATGTCACGGTTAAAACTATATGTTTTGTCAACATCTTTTTTAGGATAGGTGATTACTGGTTGCAGGGGAATTCTTTTTTTCAGTTGTGATTTATAATTTTAAAATAATCATAAGCCAAAAAGTAGTGCTTTACAGCCGTTTTATTTCAAGAAGAAATTAAAATTCCAAAGAATATTGTCGCAAAAAACTTCATAATTTTCCATCACCCTTGTGTTATGCCTTGTTAAAGTAATTTGAAAAATATATTATTACAACGTTTAAAATAAAAAGGTATAATATTTTTACTAAATACTTAACTTAAATAATTTTATTGCTTTTAAGGAAGAAGTTTATACTTTTTGAAGGAATAGTAATATAGTCTTATTGTAATGTTTTACACAATTGGGATGTTCCACTCCCTTAATACTTATTTCCAAAATTATCTTTAATTGTGTTAAAATGTTGTGTATGGTTTTTAATGTTTAAATCATAGACACCGCTATATATACAAAAATACAAGCACATAGAGAAGTCACACTAATACTTTTATTTGGAATTACGCGAAAAGATGTCGCTGATTGAGAAAGTTTTTCATAACATATGAATAGTTTTCCCTCATTTCGATAAAGTGTATTAAAAGAAGATTCACTGGACCTTGAAATTATTGTCAAGCGCATCTAATTATATAACATATTTCGTTATGTGCAAGATTGTTGTACTGCGATTATATAGTATCTTATATACACATATATAAATACAAGGTGTTTCTGAAAATAATTTCAGAGATGATTCTTTGATCAATTTCTAGTAAAAAATTGTATGGGGAGAGGGTGCAAGCGTTTGTAAAATAAGCCACCAATGGTTACCCTATTTTGCATGGTTCCGAAACTATAAACATTTATTTATATGCAGGAAAAGTGTGGTACCTTGTTTTTCAACAGCCTGTAGCTTGAAAACGAGTATATCTGCATCCTCCACCACCGATTCAATTTTTTGCTGAAAATTGATCAAAGAATCATCCGCGAAATCGATTGCAACCTTAATGGAAACACCGTGTGTTTATACCCACATATATATATTTATGAAAATTCAACGTTTTATTTTGAATAATCAAAAAGAAAAACAAATATGTATATATGGTACCTGTAAGCGTATTAAATGGGTTTATTTAATGCCATATGCAATTTTTTACATATTATGTATTTTTGTTCGCATAGTACACAAACTTTTTCTCTTAATATGGAATAAAAGAAAATCAAACAAATAACGTTATTTCTGATTTACTGTTAACAGGTGAAATTACTAAATATCTGTAATAAATTGGATTACTGTTTACTTTAGAAATGATCTCTGAGATACTCTTTTATGATAAAAATATAGTTAGTTACAGAATTAGAGAGAGCAATTCGTTTTTCTCGATTTCAATTTTAATGTTTTTAACCTGAAAAATATTAAAGTCTCTAACTTATACAATATATATTTTGAAAAAAGTATGAAAAACAAGTTGCTAGTATCCTTTGAATTTTAATAGAGAACATCACATTCATATATGTATGTTTTTTCCTTAGAGCTATTGAATTTTAAACAATTTAAAGTTTTGAAGCTTAATTTTCAAAATATTAAACTTTCCCATTAGGAGGAGAATTAAAAATAACATTCTAATTTAAAATAATAAAAACCAATTTCAAAATAATTGTTAGTGTTCAATTTTGAGTAGATTAAGAAAAATTTTAAGCTTTTATTTCAAAGTATTTTCTAATTTAATTTGTAACTCTTGGAGTTAACTGCCAATTAAAATTATTATTACGACGAATTTCTTTTTTGATTGCTGAAATTGTCCTTTAAAAAAATAGTGTAAGATATACTAAATTAAAATTTACAATAGATTTACAAAAATAATGCTTAATGTTTCATATTCCAAAATATTCCGATTGATAGATATCTTTTTTTTGTCCAATTTTTGAGTATTCTCCATTTTTTTAGTTTGTTTCTAAAATCATCTAGGATCAACGTTACCTAAATGTTTAAATGAAAAATTATATAAACTACCTGTTATATAAACATGTTAGTGGTCTAGTTAACCAATCATTTCACGATTGAAACTTATTAAAGTTAAAATTTCAATAAACTTTAAAATAGAATGGCTATTTTATCGGTATATTGGCTGCTTAAGTTGAGTAGTATTTCGGTAGCAAAAGTCAAAATTAAAATACATTTTTTTATTTATTTACATTATTTACATTTTTAAATAATTGGAGGCAAATTTATAATTTTTAAATTTAAATCAAAGCATCAAAAATATCAACGGCCTGGCAAATCTAATTTTTAGCACATTTTAAAAAAAAATTGAAAAAAGTGGTTATTAGTTTCACTCTTTTTGTTCGTCTGCCCGTCCGTAGACATGTTTACATGTTTACAAAACTTCTACACCCTTGAAGATAGAAAGCTGCAATTTTTATGTACATAGATCTTTATTAGAAACTTATTTCATTATAGAAGAAAATTTTTACCTATCTCCTGCCCCTAAGGTTATACCCCTCATAAACCCTAAAAATGGCATTTTTTAACTAATTATTGCAGTGAAACCATGATGTTGTTTTTCTCCTAGACACCAGATCGTGAAAGTATGAAATTTAGACACTAATAGCTCATTTCGTTGGAAAAAAATTTTTTCCCACCTTCCCTTTCAAGTTATCGCCTCCAGAAATTTGTAAAGTTTGAATTTTTTGCACCTTATATTTCCGAAACCGCAAACTTTTCTAAATTTCTATAAACGCAGGAAGCTAACAGTAAATTCCATATCTTTAAAAAATATAATTACTATTCTTAACTCACGAAATTAACCCCTAAAATTGAGCACATAATAACACCTTTTTAATTTTTTTTTGCTTTATTTCAGACTGCCTAAATTATTCATCCAAAATGTATGCAATCCTTAAAATACCTTCGCATATGAATGAAAGTAGTTTTAATAGTGAACTAGGTAATAATAGCTGTACATCGATTTTATTTAAAAGCGTTGATAAATATGACAAAACTTTTAAAAGATTGTTTTTCACTTGGTGAAGGGGAAAGTGCTATATTACAATGGTTTGACCCAACATTATTTTTCTTACTTTTTCTAATTGGAAAAGAAAATAATTGAGGTTACTTTGAATTTTTTTTTTAAATTAAATGTATTATATTTCTCTCTATACTTTAATACGCTAAACTTCTGTTTGGGAGACAGGAAAGGAATGCATTTAAATTTGCAATTAATTTTTTTTTGTCAAATGTATTTCTCAAATTTATTTATCAATTTTTTTGTTTTAATTTGAACGTTAATATTAATAATATGAAGAATTAACAACGTAAAAAATATTAGTCAGTTTACTTCACACAAATAATTTCTAACAATTATTGTGATTTTCATAAAAATTTGAGAATTTTTTTTTTTGATTTACTTGCTGAATTTAATGATCTGGTAGCATTAATAATTAGAAAAGAAAATAAATCTACATAATATGTATGTATGTATTTGTATAAATTAAAAATGATTCTTCAATCGAAGGTAAAGTAAGATTTAAAATTTGCCTTTTGAATTCGATAGAACTATTATTTGTTGTTAACGGTTTTTTTTATTGTTATTTTAACTCCTACATCTGATTCTCAAACTGCACATACATTTCTCTTGTGGTTTGAGAAATCATACTTTTCAAATTTGCACAAAATAAAACATTTCTTCGATTTAATTTTCGAATAATTTTGGCATTTTTGTAAATTTAACAGGTGTGGCTTGTCTTTGAAAAGTTTCGTACACTCTTTTGATTTAAACTTTTCATTAGTCCAATATTTTAGTGACAACCGTCCTGGAATTGTGCAAATAACCTTATAAACTTTGCTGATTCTTTTTTCTATTTAATATTTGAAGCCGTTAGATAAAAATTTAATTCAAGTTTAGAATTACCTCAAATACCTAACATAAGTATATCACATCTAAAATAGGTTAAACTAAAATAATCTTTAACTTCAAAATTGCATCAATACGGTTGTAGATACGGTTCAGTTTTTTAAGTTACGATTGCTGAATCGTGTTGCAATACAGTTATTGTAACTAAATATATGGTAATTACGGTACTTACTGAGCACCGGATTAATTGACTGTCAGAATTATTGAATTATTAAATGGTATCATGATCTAAAAATAACAAAATTCTCAAACTGATTTCATTATATAATTCACAGATTTATTATGTATAAACCTTTAATATGGATTATGGCATGGATAGCGTTCATTAAGCATTAGAATGAGAATACGAATTGAAAATAAGTTTATTTTGCTTTATTCATTGATATATTGGAAATTTATTGAAGCCAACAAATCTTGTTCAAAACTTGAAACAATTTTACCATGTAGGTGCGCATTTAAAAATGAAGAAATTCAAGTATGGTAAGTTTGATTAGTTTTAAATTGTGATAACAATATCCCGTAATTCTAATAAAAAGACTTTTTTTTACTAAAAGTTCGAAAAGTACTCTAATATTATGTAAATTTGATAAAGTTTGCAATGCACTCTACAGTAATTTTGTAAACTGCCACTGGAAAGGAAAAATTTGTTTTAAAAGTGGAACAATTGACTTCACCTGTTAATTTTTTCTTTAACTAGAGATTTTAACGAATTTTTAGTTGGGATAAAGTCAAGCAAAAACTTATTTTGACAAGCTAAAACTTAGTTTTTTTAGATATTATAATCACTGATTTTTATTTCCTTCTTTTTATTGTATGGCTCTACATATCTATCTCTGTTGAGCCAATATAATATTTTCTTTCAAATGAGATGTTATGTAAGCTACTTTTGATTTTTCCTTGTTTTTATTTTCGTTTCTTCCTTAGTTTGGATTTTACATAATTAGTAATTATACTATTATATTTTTATAGAAAATGTTTTAATTTATAATTCGGATTTATATTTCATTAAATTTACACAACAGAATTTTCTTATATAAATTTTCTTATTATAAATTTTTTTTAAATGTAGGTGTTCGCATAGCAATCTTCCCCAAACGATGGAAGGCATTAAAGCTGTTGAAAAAACATTAACCGATACAATTGATGAATTTATTTTGGAAAATAATCAACTTCCAGCCCTACCAGGAACATTTTTTGGCAGTTTACGTATAATTCGACTAATGTTACGTTATAATGGAATCGAAAGAGTTTCTAACGGATGGTTGAACCAATTAGAAAATAATTTAATTGAAATATTTATGGTAGAACCTAATCTAAGAAGTATTCCGGCTGAAAGTTTGCACGGATTGACTAATTTGGAAGCAGTTACCATACAAAGTGACGAATTAAAACGAATACCAGATTTTTCAGGAATAACAAATTTGAAATATTTGAACATATATAGTAAATCTCTAATTGAATTTCCTCCTATACACTTTAGAAAATTACCTAAATTAGAAAGCATTCATCTCAATGGCGGTAAACACCTAACACGATTAGAAATTGGCCTTTTTGATAATTTAAAATCTCTAAGAGTTATAGATTTAAGTCATAACGGAATTAATTGGATTCATTTAAGATCATTATATAGATTACCAAATTTAATCAATTTAAAATTGTCTGATAATAAAATCAATGATGTTGGAATGGTGGGAAGAGTTGTAAAAGATTTAGAAAACTTACAAAAGCTACGTTTAGATCACAATTTAATAACAGTATTGGAAGAAGGTAGTTTAGTCGATTTGCCAATGCTAACTGAGTTGTATTTGAATGATAATAAAATTAGTGAAATTCATTACGGAGCCTTTCATAGGACACCAAATTTGCGAATAATATTCCTTCAGAATAATAAAATTAAAAAAATTCATCCCGAATCGTTTATGCAGACATCTGGTAGTGGAGTTGAAAGCTTATACTTAAATAACAATGAAATAGATCGCATTGAAGAACTTCGTTCATTGTTAGATTCACTACCAGCATTGAAATTTTTAGAACTAAGTCAGAACCAATTGACAGACATTTCATATGGAATTTTAAGAGGACATGGAACGTTAGAACAATTACATTTAAATGACAATTTCCTAAGCATCATTGATAGAGACGCATTAATAGCGATGCCAGCTTTAAGAGAACTTCGTTTACGAAATAATAGCTTGTCAGATAATCTTCCAATGCCTTTTTGGAATTTACCTGGGCTCAAAGGACTGGATTTGAGTCTGAACAGTTTTCGTCGCATAAATAGTGTTCTTTTATCTGGATTGCCGTCATTAAGAAGGCTAGATTTAAGCGAAAATTTTCTAAATGTAATTGATCGTAACACATTTTCTAATACACCTTTTTTGGAAACTCTAAACATATCCAATAACGAAATTTTCGACATAAATCCCTTAACTTTCAAAAGTTTGGACAAACTATTTGAAGTTGATGCAAGTTTTAATAAGTTTAAAAGAATTATTCCAGGATTACCAAAAATTATTGAACGAATTTCAATGCGTGGCAATATGATATCTGAGTTGCCACTACCACAGGCAAGTAAGTCATTAGACCTGCCTAATTTAAGAATGCTGGATTTGAGCAGAAATCTGCTAGAATACATACCCAAATTTACATTCCAGTCATTGGAACAATTAAGAGTTTTAAGTTTTGCCTATAATAAAATCAGAGTACTCGAAGATCTAACATTCATGGGCGCAAATCGATTAGAACTTCTTCACCTTCAAGATAACTTAATAACTGATGTTGAAAAAAACTCGTTCCAAATGATGTTGGACTTGCGTAATTTAAATTTGCAGGGTAACAAGATGGAAATCCTTTTTGATAACATGTTTACTAATAACTCGAAACTTGAACAACTTGACTTATCGCGAAATAACCTTCGCGATTTACCTCAATCATTTTTTAGAAATCTAAAGAGATTAGAGTTTTTAGATTTATCTGGAAATATTCTTTCAGAAATGCCAGAAAGTTTAGCAAATATTATTAACATTAAAGATATTGACGTGAGTTTCAATCATTTAATGATTTTACCATTTAATATTGTTGGGGCATGGAAAAATGTTGTGGAAATTCGCCTGTCAAATAACCAGATTTCTGAACTAAAGCACGGCACAATTATGAATCTTCCAAAATTACAATATTTAGATTTGTCTAGTAATGAAATTCAATCTATTGAACCAAGTGCTTTAAAAAACCTTCCAGAATTACAGGAACTAGTTTTAGCTGACAACAAGTTAGTTGAATTAAAAGATCGTGTCTTTGAAAACTTGAATAGTTTACAAGCGGTTCACCTACAACACAATCAATTAAAATTTATTTCTCCCGAGGCTTTCTACAACTTACCAACTCTTGTCTACTTAAATTTATCAGAAAATAATTTTCACAACATGGATAATGTTGGCTTAAGAAGCATGAGAAGTTTAGAAGTACTGGATTTATCTGCAAATAAAGTAAAAATAGTAAATACCATGCCTTTAAAAATATTAAATTGGTTAGTTGAGCTAAAAATGGATAATAATCAAATATGCAAAATTTATGTAAGTTTGTTTTTTTTTAAATCAAGCACGTTACACACATACATATTGCATATATATTTTTGGTAGGTGTATGCATTAGGGATATTTTGGATTAGTATATACGGTCAAATACTTTTTGTATAGTCAGATTTATTTTTCAGTTTTTAATATTACATATCTTTCAATTCATTTTATGAGCCTCTCTGCTATCTTTTCTTTGATTAATTTTTAGGACGCAATTGTTGCACAGCTAAAATGCATGTAAATGCATACATACATACACATACATAGATTAAAAATATTTTTTTTTTGCTTTGAGATAATTGAAAAATATTTATTGCTTTAAACGTAAGCTCTTTTTGTTATTACATTAATCAAATAATAAATAATTAGTAACATATATACATATGCCATATATACATAAGTTTCTAGAATAGTTACCTAGAGCTCTCATAAAAATTCTTGAGTTAAAACCGTTATTCCGCTTTGCGATTTGTAGTTTGAAATTTCCTTGAAAATTTCTTTCATAGCCTTTCCGGTACGAAACTGTATTTCAGGGTACTTTTATTTATACATATCCTTGCAATTTAGCAATTTTTGCAATAATAAGGGCATCGGATAAATGCAAAATTTTTGCAGTGGGTCACCTCATAATTGCAATATTGTTGCATTTAATAGGCGCGGTTCTTAATTTTATGTTCAGTTGATTAGAAGCTCAAATTGTCATATTTGTTATTTTTTTGTTCCTAATAGAGTAAGATTTTTTCTATAATATTTATTAAATAATTATCGTAATTACTAACTTCATCGATTTTTCCATACATTTAACATAGGAAAACTCTGAGGCTATGGTCAATCGAGTACAAATATTGAGGTGATAAAAAATTACTATTAAGTCGCATGAAAAGCTTTGAAGAAAAAGTACACGTGATGATTTTGACATCTGCGATCACGTCGAGATTGGTACCACTCTTAATTATCATGTCTACGACTTCTATAATAATATGTAGACGTGATTATATTACTTCATGCGATATTTGCATACGATACGACTACGAGAATATGGATCGAATTTATGCAGAATTATATGTATGGTCATTTATGTGTATTTAAATAACGGTTTATAACTTAAAAACCAAAAAACATTATTCTTTCCAGGTACAAATTAAGAAAAAGTTATCTATAAAGAATTATCTACGTTATACGTAGATAGTACGAAAAACTTTGTTAGGGAAGTAAAGAGTACTTGTTCATGGTGTTAGGAGATGTATATAGAGAGTGCTTGTTAATGGATATACTTAAATACATTGATTCACAGTCAAACATTGAAAATTATTTTTAGATATATTAATTGGTTATTTTGTAAGGCAAAAGAAGCGAAGAGTAATAAAAGGCCTGATTGTTCTAGGGGATAAAAAAGTATATTTCAAAATTAAAAAAGTTTAATTTCAGTTGAAAATAGTTTATTTTCTCATAAAAATACTTTAATTTAATGCAAAAATGTCATAATGTTACGATATGCATCTTATATTATATGGATGTGTAGATCTAACATAGTAATTGATGAATTTTCCTTTTATAAAATCAAAAAAATATTTTTCTTAAAATATTTTTGATATTAAAAAGATCTGATCAAAATTCGATTCCCGATTTGTCGCCATATGTATATAAGTATGTAAATATGTACATGCGTGTGTGTGTGTGTGCGTGTACTTACATATGTTTCATACATGATTCAAAAGTTTACTTGAATCATGTATGAAGCATATAAAACTTGAAGAAACTTTATAAAGTTTTTGCGTGCAAACGGTCCGTGATAACACTTTTTGAAAAAAAATGAGAAAGAAAATTATGACGTTTTCGTTTTCTCAATATTTAAAGTTCTTTCAAGTTTTCTATAGTAAAATTCAGTAGGTCTGCCTTTGACAAAACTTGAAAAAACTTTAAAAAAAAAAACAATGACGAAATTTTTCGCAAAAAGAAAAAAAAAATAAGTCAGACGGAAAACTTGAAAAAATTTTTAAAAACTTTATAAATATGCGATAAACGTCAAATTTCAAAGTATTTATCAAACTCCAATAAATATTTTTTGGTTATACCAAAAACCGAGAAGTTTGATTTTGGATTATTAAAGTGCGAAACTTAAAAAAAACCATTTGTGAACCCATTTTGGTTATATTATTTTGCTTTTAATTGAAAAGTTTTAATAAAAAAGTTATTGTTGATGAACATTTTTTTTTTCGAAAATAAAACCTTCTGATATAACCAAAAAAAACGTATGATTCGACAGCTGTAAGATTTTAAGTTTTTTAAACACTAAATTTTACCTTGCAAAACTTGAAAAATATTGAAGGAGGGAGGTAATTTTTGTTTGGTTAATAATTTTTTATTTTTATTTTCGTGTATTCAAGGCATTTAATTGCTCCTCTTTAGGTTCTTCCAACTAAAATCTTAAAAATATTTTTTTGCATACTAATAGATGTTTAATAAATAAAAATTATACTTTTGCAGAATTATTGGTTAAATTACATTAGTTATATGTATGTACATATAAACATAAATGTAACCAATTACTTGAAGTAATTTTATAGTATATAAACAAAATTTCAAAATAGTTTACCACTTTAGATATGTACATATATGCACTACGATTTTCGAACGTACATTTTTTATCAAACATTCTTTTTTGCAGATTTCACAGTTTTGAAATTATTATTTAAAATACCCAAAATTTTCTTCAAGACAAATATTTTTTAGTAAAATTTTCTGTTAAAAAAAAAGAAAATAAAAGAGTTAATTAAAAAATTAAGAGTTTGGTGAATTTACTCTTTAAAAATTTTTCAATTTAAAATTTGTTTTGATTTTTCTGTCTTATATATGTATATGTATTTGACTCAGCACCCTTTTAAATGGTAATGATAGGTTTTTCTAAATTTAAGGAAATATATTTTTAATAAATTTGATTTTGAATGCAAACTTTTCTCTTTTGCCAATTTGTTTTTGCAAGCATCAAAATAAAACTCCAAAGTTTATTTATATAAACATAATTTTAGGTATTTTTAGATTCATATGACTTAAAACATAAAAAATTTGTGATCATTTTTTTTTCTTCATATAAACTCTATACATTTCTTTAAAAATCATAAAAGGAAAATGCTCTCTACGTGGTGGCCTTATACTTACCGTTACCAGAGCAGTGTGTTGATATAATATGTATGTGTATCTTGAAATTACGTCATTGTTTTCTCTTTTTAAACTTTTTTTTTAATGTTTTCTGTTTTTAAAGTCTTATGCCAGACAGGCCTATTTATTCAAAGTATGTATTTATTTTTTATCTAAAAAATATTTTTGTTATTTCAAGGTTTCATATGTACATATGTATATATTTATTTTGTTTATATTTAGTATATATTTATTATAACATGATGTCGTGTACATACATATGTACATACATACTTATAGCTTAACAGAATTAATACATAAAAATTGTTCAACAGGGTTTGCCATTTGAAACAATGCCACGACTGAGAGTATTGTCGATTAAGAATAATAAGTTGAGAACTATGCATGAAAAAACTTTCCAAAAATTAAGAGGCAATATTGCTGTACTTGACATAGAAGGTAGGTGATATTTTTCAGATGCATTGATATGTATGAATGAAAGTGCATTAATTTATATGCATATATGAATGCAGATGTATTACGTGTATATTTAATGCATGAGTATAATATGCAAACATGTTGTGCACATTCAAATGTATTTAATATTACATATGTATGTACAACTGTACGTAAATTAAATAAATAAGTTGTGTATACAGGCAGGTAAAATCTAACTAAATAATTCTGTTTTTATTTTTTTTGCCAATGTAGGAAATCCTATTAGATGCAGCTGTGAAATGCAATGGTTAAGCGTGTGGCTGGATGAGACTAATTCGCCTAATCCGGGTCCAAAATGTCAGAACGGTAAACTTTTACGAGCATCACGTTTGGATCAAACCGATTGTGGGGATTATAGATCATCAAACTATTTGCCGTTGTTTAACGAGCATGGCGACTATTTTGGACGCCATTTACAAAATGAGTTCGTTGAAGATTGCGAAATTGACTTAACTGCAGATGTAGATACTCAGACATCAAAGCAAAAACCTTTTGCTGTTGAAAGTGAATATTTTTATGACCAATATGTAGATTATCCAACTAACGACTCTGCAACATTTTCCGCAACCCCAGTTTCCATTTCCCATATGATTACGACAACGTCTAAAACATCTAGCAGTATAAATTTAGTGAATAATACCCTCCTCAACTTTAATACTTACAACAAAACAAGGCCACAATACGGTGGAACGCCAACATTCACCTTTTTTGGGTACCCTTTACCAAGTCTGAATTTTGGTAGATTTTTTAATCCTTATTCAAAAACTCCGGATGCTAAAGGAAGAGAGCAACAAGGGCTTAACGTAATTAGATCAATGAATCGTGGAAAGGTACGAATGTTTAAGCCTACTGATTATGAATTTGAGAAGTACTTAAAGGGCGATTTTCAATTTTCTGATGCAAATTCTCGAAGTGGTAATTATAATTCAGCTGAAACAAGCAGCATTGGCGAAACGTATGATAGAGATGAAAATCCTCCAGCTAATTTTATGACTGGAAAATTTAAAAGTCCGTATATTGAAAAAGGTGGATTTTTACCAATTTTCCCCGGAAGAATAGGTGGATTTATTCCCGTCTTACCAAATAATAAGACATTCCAAATTTCTGGGAAAACAACTGATTACAAGCAAATTGTTTTGGATACTTCTACGCTATCTCCTCTTAGCAGCACAGTACAAACCAAAAATTTTTCTGATATAAGTCAAAATAAAATTGATTTGCAATCTACTACTCCAAAATTTGTACATTTTGACTATCAAACATCTGAAAAAGTACAACCTACATATTATGTCACTGAAGATACAGCGCATAATGATGCAAGGACTTTGGAATCCGTACTCTCAGTTACACCATCTACGTCGCAGCTTGTAGGGACAGCAAAAGTTTCAGAACAAGAAGATACTACGGAACAATTACTTACAGAAGATATTTTTCCACTTACATCAACTTCTGAAACTATACTTTTAATACCTCCAGCAGAAGAACAAGAAGAATTATCCATAAAATTGCGGCCGTGGTCCACCGATTTTTCTAAAAATTTCAATCAACCTGAAGAAGACTATAAAATTATACCTTCGTCTCGGTCAAATATTAAAAAAGTATTTCAGCAAGAATATTCGCGCGGAGTAACTTCAACTTCATCATATCATTCAACTCCGGGTCAGCCTACAGCCGAAGAATATTCCAGAGCATTTCACGCATCTCATGCACAAATAGACAATGAATTTCAATCTAACGAATTTGTTACTAATAGTTTCCCTCACACTGAAGAACCATTTCCAATAAAAAAGCACGGAATGGAATGGTATTATGAAAACTACAAAAATTCAAGAAGGCGATATGAACCTGATATAGAAACAGCTAAAGGAAAGCCAAAGTCAATTTTAAGATCTCAGGCCTTAAAACTTTGGGTTTCTAATTTTTTTAGAACGAATTTAATGTTAATATTTTTAGTTCACGTTACTCTTAGATAATATTTTTTTATATTTACATACGATGTTGCCAAAATTTAATGTTTTTATAAAAATTTGCTAGTTTTATTTCGGTAAGTGCATTAATGCCAAACTAATTTTAGTAAATTTTTACATACATATGTACATGTATACGCGAACATCAATATTAAACTTTTAAAGAGACTTATATTAAATATTGTGTAATATGTACCGCCAAGTGAAAATAAGCTCGAAACAAGTACATTGTGCGCCTAATTAAAAATGTTTATATATCTTCGGCAAAGATGAAGGCAAATAAAATAATTTAATAATGAAAACTGTTAATTGATGGCTCAATAAAATTTGTTAAATTTTATAATAATCAGTTAATTAAGTTAACTGATTAGCACAATTTTATACTTAAGGCAAAAAATTTTCATTCTAAAATAAAATTTTAATTATTTTATATTTATTAAAATTAAAAACAGGAATAATGGATATTTTTTTAAACTTGTAAATATATATATGTATATATATGTGTATATGCATATGCGCATAATATACATACATAAGTACATATAGATACAAAAGTGTATTTTCATGTTAATTTTAATAAAAAGTTAAAAAAAAAACTTGTCAATTATTTTTATATGACGCGGGTTTCACTTTAAAACTTTTGTATTCAAAAATATTTTGCATAATATAATATAAATAGCATTTTCAGATTAAATTAACCCTTTTGCGAATTAAATTAATCTTTTTGCGAATGGAATTAAACTTTTTGCGAATAGAATTAACCCTTTTACGAATAGAATTAAACCATTTGCGAGTTGAATTAATCCTTTTGCGAAATAAATTAAACTTTTTTTTTAAGTTAAACCTTTTTCAAATAAAATTAAACCTAAAAAAAGATGTGAAAATCATGAAAATGAAAATCAATAAAATTTAAACGACTTATTAAAAAAATCATGTTTTTCATATTTGGGCACGTAATATTATACGAGTATGCGTATACTTATACATATATATATGGGGACATATGTATGTATTTAATTAAATTATGTTAATTTAAATTTTATATTTATTCTTGCATAAAATAAAAAATAATTAATATCCATAATTTTACATGTAATTAAAATTCATTAATTAATATGAATTTCTGATTTAAAAAGTTAGAAATGGAAATGAATAATTTACTCTAAACTTTCAAAAATAAGATAATCGTAAAACTTTTTTAATTTTGATAAGAAAAGTGATCGGTAAAATAACAAAGAAAAGCAAAGAAAAAACTACATGATGAAAAAATCAGATTTTTTTAATAAGTCGTTTAAATTTTATTGATTTTCATTTTCATGATTTTCATCTTTTTTTAGGTTTAGTTTTATTTGAAAAAGGTTTAATTTATTGGTTTATCTCAATTCGCAAAAGGGTTAATTCTATTCGCAAAAGGGTAAATTCTATTCGCAAAAAGTATAATTCCATTCGTAAAAACATTAATTTAATTCGTAAAAGGGTTAATTTACTCTGAAAATGCTAAATTATTATAACAAAGTAGTTATAACTTTTAATTATTTATATACCTTGGCTTTCATTTACAGTTTTATTAATTTAATATTCTACAATTTTTAAATCCAAACTAGCATTCCAAAAAAGAAAATAATTAATGTGGATCAAGATTTAATTTTTAATCATTTGATTCTTCACTTGCATTTATATAACCATTTGCTTTGTCAATTGCATGCTTCACTTTTGCGACTGTAGTTTTATTATAGTAATCTAAGAGTTCAAAAGTTACCAGACTATAATCTTCAACCATTGAAACGATTGCAGCATTTAATTTGGCGTATTTTGGAAAATCAAAATCTATTGCTTCCAATAAAAATTTTAAATCTAAAACCTCGGTATAAAATTCTAAATTAAAGATCAGTTTTGACTCAAATCTTTTAAATAATTCGGCCTTACTAAGTACATTTACGTGAGGTAGGCTGATATTTAACATAATATTTAAGCTAAGCAATAGCGTTGATATAAATTTTGTTGGTTCAGAACAGTAATGGGATTCAATTAAATTTACGGAGCATAAATGATATCCCATAATTTCTAATTTATTAAAAATGTTTGATAAACACCGGCTATGTGTAAAAATTTCTATTTGACCAGGACAATCAAATATTAAATAACTTGGTTTAAGTTTTTTCAATTCACTTATTAACCATTTCACATTTTTTTCCAAATATTCCATGCAATACATCAAACTTCCATTTGGCCCCAATTTATGAAATTCCATTACATCTTCTACTTTAATTAGATTCATTATATCAATATCAGGAGTATATTTCATATTCTCATTTCCAGGGTCCAAATTAATTATTGATACTTCTCTTCCAATTTCACGTAAATATTTAGACATTTCAAAACAATACGTTGATTTGCCTGAACCTGGAGGCCCCAAAACTAACTGACCAAAAATATGATTGCTCTGGATAACTTTGTTTCTTGATGTTATCATCGTTTTTGCGAAAAAAATTGTCTTATTGGTGCTTTTAACTTTAGCAAAAACAGGCAAAATGTTATTTAGTATATTTCTTCAAATCAAAAAAAAAAATATTTTATATTACAAATATGTTTGAAACTTGTAAATAAAAAATTTTATTTGACACTTATTGTTATTTGACATTTATAACTAAATGGTATCAGACAATATTGTTTATAATGCCAGTACTGACAATATAGTCAACCGTGTTTATTAAGCCGATTATACATTGCTTAACTTGGTTTTTCAGCGCATCACAAGTTGACTACATAACAAGTTTTTAAGTTAACTCGTTCGTCAATTATTTGAAAAATTGCTTGAAAAGAATATTGCAAAATTTTAATTTATTTAGGTATAATTTTGTAGATTGCATGACACCTCACATATAATTTAGAAATATAGAGTTTAAATAAAGTTTAAGCGTGTATTGCTATGATGACAAAAATGTTTTTAAGAAACAATATTGTAAATTATATGAAAAACAAGTTTTGTAATTGGGTACGTATACAATTTGGTATATTAAACTTAAAAGATCTGTCCAAGGTACGTAATTCATTATAAAGCATTGTATTGTAATGCATTATTATGAAAAGCATTCAATGCTGCCTTTTTTCTTATTTATTCAATCATTTTTTAAGGAAATTAAGAAAATATAAAAAATAATTAGTTCAAAAATGAGATACAGAAAGTCATATAATTACGTCAAAATAAATTTTTTTTATATCGCAAATGACGAAAATACCTTATATCAACTAATTAGAAAAACTAAGGAAAGATGCCAATTGAAAGTACAATGAAGCTAAATTCTTTCAAGTTGTCTCTTTTTTTGTCCAATCATTGTCAAAGTTGTAATAGGAGCGTATTTAGACGGAAAACTTGAAAAAACTTTTAAAAACTTCATAAATATGCGATAAACGTTAAATTTCAAAGTACATACATATCTATCAAACATAAACAAATATTTTTTGGTTATACGGTTATACCAAAAACCGAAAATTTTGATTTTGTAAAAACCATTTGTGGTTCTATTTTGTTTATTTTACTTTTTTTTAATTGAAAAGTTTAAAAAAAATATATATGTATATTTAATGAAAAATAAAACCATTTGACCTGACCTGGAAAAACATATGTTTCGAGAGTAAGATTTTGAAGGTTTTTAAGACACTGAATTTTACTTTACAACAAAACTTGAGCATTGAGAAAATGAGAATGTCATCATTTTCTCTCATTTTTGTTGACAAAGTAGTGTTGGAGAACTATTGATTTATTGCACCATCGATATTTTTGAAATCGATATATATCGTCGCAAAACTAGCGCGATATATCGATAGTTTTGTAACACAACTTGCTGTATTACAATGTATCTGTGGCTTGCATTTAATTTGTAGAGAAACATGTAATAGGGTTGTACGATATACAATATTAATATAATTTGAAAAATATCAACTGTAATTAGACTTATCAGCGGCTCACACAGGCATTGTAATGTGCAAAATATTAACTTTTTATCCTAAAATAAATATTTTTATTTTGTTAACTTTTCATTTTTTATTTGATCGATAAAAAATCGTTTGTTGTTTTGAACTTTTTGAATTTTCAAAAGTATTACCAATAACCTAGCATGTTGAAATATTTTAGAATATTAGTAAAATTATTGTATAAATTGAAGCATTTATGCCAATAACTGACATGTTGTGCGGTAAACTTCCACTTTGACATGGCTAGTAACAAAGTTTTTTCTCTTTTTCATTCCAAAAAAAAATAATAAGAATATAACGAAACTCAATACAATAAAATATAACTCTTACTCAATGGAATTCGCTTCACGACTTCACGGAATATTTAAAAAGAAAGCAAAGAACATAGAAATAAAAAGGAAAAAGTTTCAAATTTTATTGATTTTTAAATTAATGTGTATAAATACGAAAATAATGTTATGGAATTCATTATATTCAAAATTTATTAATACTTGACATGTTGATGCTTATTTGACGATAGTATAATACCGTTTATAAAACCATCGATAGTTTCGATAGTTGAAAACTGTCGATAGTATCGATAATGCCATTGATAGTTTTCCATCTCTATCAACAACCCCTTCAAAGTTTTAACTGTTCATTTAATCACTTATAGTTCTTGAATGAACTTTCAACGAATTTTTTTTAGGTTATTGAAATTCCTGTTACGTTCTTGAAAAAACATTAAATATATATTCTTTATTTCTTTCAGAACATTAGCCTTTATTAATCTAACAATAAAAAAATCTTTATAAATATTTCTAACTAAACATTTGTAGCTTTTGGCTTAATAATTTCCTTATCGACCAAATTTATAACCCAACCTGGTTTTAAACCATAAAAAATTTCTTCTTCTTCTTTTACCATATTAGCAATTTCGGCGAATCCGGGATCCTCATTTAGTTTTGATAACGTATATCCATATTTTGTGGCCAGTTTTTCACGTTCTTTATCAATTTCTGCTTGATTCGCTAAATATCCTCGATTGACAGCAGAAGTGTAATAATCAATAGCATCTTGTGGTGGCAGCATTCGTTTAGGAATTGGAATACCTTTTTCAAACCACTTTTCAGGATCAACGAGAATTTGTAACGCTCTAACATCGTAATAAGCAGTCCGAATAACACCACCATTCCGTTCAACTGCAGCAATAACGTTTTCTTTAGCATGTTGAACTTCTATAACAATTTTAGCTTTAAAATTATTTATCCCTTCATCTGTTAATTGAAAACCATAATGCATTCCTCCAACTGGATCTATATTAACAACTCCAGTATTACATAACTGTGTTAAATCGATTGGTTTATTTTTATCAATTCGATCTGTATCTAATAAAGTTTGTAACTGATGTAAACTTAATGGAGGATATTCTCGACGTAAATGATGACCCTGAAATTATCGTGCAAAATAATTTTTTCTGGTTTAAAATATTTGGGATTCTGGTATTCTAATACCTTATAATAAGGTTCATATGGAAATCGTAGATAGAAGGGTGTATTACCGGTTTCGTAACCTAATCTCATATAGTTTTGCCGTTGGCCAGAACCTTTATTTCCAGCACCATGTTTGTCACCACCATGTTGAGCTCTACCCCTTTTGACCTGTTTAAATCAATATACATATATTTAATGAGAAAATCGAAAAAATAGATTTATATGTTTTTACATTTAGCTTAGAATTGGGATTTGGACGCAGATTCCCCAGTTGAATTCTAGGTAAACTTTGAAGCATTTTTATCGATTTCTCAGCTATTTCTTTTGCACTTCCCATGTTTAAAATATTCCAACGGTGAACCAATTATATTAGTGGCAAAATTTTCTGAAAATTTAAAATAAGAAGTGCGATATTTCTGTCTAACTTTAGTTCGATTAATTTTATTTTGATTCAAATTTTGACATAATAAAAATATTGACCAATACCTCTGTCAAGTGTGCCCAATATACAATATAGACATGGTATACATTAACAAGGAAATTTAAAAAATTAGTTGTCAAATAGACAACTTTATAGAGTGACGTAATTGGACAGGGTTTGGTAGAATTGTTAAGATAAACGGAAAATTAAAAATTAAGTAAAATCTCTTTTAAAAAATCTAGTAATTAAGTTTTAAAAGTATCCTAAGTTATTCATTATACTGTATCAAGTGCCTCGAATTAAAAATTAAATATGGGAAAGTGAAGTAAAAAACTGTTTTAGTATTTAATATTTTTTATATTTATAATTTTCTGTTTTATTATTTTAATTTTATTTTTTAGCTTCCAAAAGCTAAAGTTACACGTGTTGTTTGTTTTTACAAAGCTAAAGTAATAATTCTTTAATTTTTTTGTGGAAAATGCTATATTTTGAAATCAAGCCTTTTAATTAAATTGTAAAACATACCTTTCGCTATGATTTTCCATTTTTTATTTAATTTAATGTCATTTACTCTGTTACCAAGTAATTAAAAACATTTATTTTAGCATTATTAAATACTTAAGATCTAAATAAAAACCGTAAAATTATCTTGGTTTTCGACTGTCATTTTTTCAAATTAAGGGATTGAACCAGAACTTGATAGCAAAAGAACACAGTAAGTTCATTTTCGATTCGCAAATAATTTGGTACTATGTAATAGTATGATACTATGCATCGTAGAAAATTTAAACTGGCATCAGGTTGTAAAATATTTTTTTTTTTGACATTTCTGACAGTTTTTCCAAAGTAAGCATTTGAATTATTTCAAAATAGTCATACATTTAAATGCATGTAAAACTGGAAAGGAGAAAAGTCAAGAAAAGAGAAGCGAAACAAATTTGGTTAGTTAACACAAAATTAGTGCTATTTTGCTATTTTTTTAAACTGGGACGGTTTTATATTTTATTTTGACCTATAATTATAATTATTAATTACAAAAATTTAGTTCATTGCAGTAAATGTGACCATATGTGACGCATGTAAGGGATTCTAAAAAGCATGTTTTAAAGCCGTAAGATCAACTCCTAATTCAAAATATGCAAAAATGGTGTATAATCTTTAGGTGACGAATTTATAAATAATCAAAAACACAGATGACCTTTTGTATAAACAAATGTATCAAATGATAAATACATTCATTTAAATAAATATAAATAAAATTTACATAATTTAAATAAATCAAATGTTGTTTTTGGGTATACAATTGCAAAAGTCCAGTTTTCTCTATGTTTCTTAAGATTTCAAGAACCCAATGTCGACTTTTTTTAACATCTCTTCATTTTTTTCACATAATATTTATATTTAATATACAATTCACAAATTTTTAAAATTTTGTTTTTTTTTGCCTTCACACTTTTTTTTTTCTTTAATTGAATTAAAAAAAAAAAATTTTTTTTTTTAGTTTAATAAAAAAACGACTTCTTTGCTTACTTTAACTTAAGGCCGTCGAATTTTGGCGTTCTCACGGAGCGTTGTTTTTGTTTCACTAACATTAATTGATTACGATGTAGTTGTCATTCTCATTGAGCATTGAATAATTTTTTCTTCGAATGACATTGCAGCCATATCTAACAGCGAAAAGTAATTTTATAGATGAGACTGTCGTCGCTGAAAAGGTTTTGTTGTTAATGTTTGTAGTCGAATTATCTTCAACCACAAGTCATAGGGTTACTACGATTCGCGAAGCGAATATTTACTGGAAGCGAATGAATTACTCGAATATTCGCCGAAATGATATTATGTTGCGCAAGCACTTGTATATTCCTTAACAAAACAAAAAGGAAGTCAACATTAAGTACATTACTATCAAAGTATATCTACTAATAAGTAATTCGACTCGTTCCATTCCGTTAGTTTTCGTTTGCATCTTGCTTCCAAATTCTTAAAATATTCCATTTTTTTGTAGAAATAGATGGTAATAAGAGTTGTGTAGGCAAGAAAGAAACAAAATATTGTAAACAAACGAGTGTATTAAAAACATTGAACTGAAATAAAATGAAATTAAGTTAGGCAAAAATTTTGTTATTTTTGTTTTGATAATAACAAAATTTATTTTTCATTTTATTAAAGTTAGGTAAAGAATTCGAATGTATGAAAGCAAAAGAGTTTGAAATTTCATGTATGAATGTACACATGCATGTACCTGGTACAGTAGATACACAGTATCAGGTAGTGACATAGAAATAAAGTAATTTATAAAGAAAAAAAGATACTGATTACTTTATGAAATATAATTATTACCGGGAAATATATTATTCATGGCAAATATGTTCTAAATTTATTAAGATTGAAATAAAAATAAAAAATTTAAAGATAATTTATTTATTTTATTTATTAATTACAAATGCCTAACACTAAATATTTAAAATATTTTCAAAAGTACAAATTTACCTTTTCACATCTTTTGGCAACAAATGAAATTTTCGTGTCGGCTTTTTTTCATCCCAAACACTTCAAATAATGTTTACCCATTTCTATAAAAAAAAATATTTTTTTCACAACTATTTAAATTTTTTTTACTATTGTACGTCTTTTCAAAATTTATTTTTATTATTTGTAAAAATTATATTATATAAATTATAATAATTTTTTTAAACACTTTTTTTCTTCTTCGCTTTTATAATATAATACACATTTTTTGCCACCTTGTACTGGAATGAATTACAGAAATTATTGTGTCGCTTTTAAAATTCTTAATATTTTTCCCTATACTTTATATAGGAACAAATAATAAAGTGTCGCCTTTCAAAATTACATTATAAAAAAAAAGGTTGACATCTATTGCGTACTCTTTCCCTTTCCCAAAAATTCTTATGTGTATAAAAATGAAAATAAGAAAGTATACTGCTTAACTCTTTTAACTAAGGGAATTTTTGTATACAAAGATTGGTGAGTGATTACATTAGTGTGATGTAAACGGAGAGTCGAACTACTTGTTAGTAGATATACTTTGATTACTATATAACGCAGTAAACCTTTACGTCAAATTGACAATGTCAAATTTTATGTTTTAGCAAAATTTTACATTACCATAATGTCTTGACTTCAATGCAACCAAATTGTAGGCTATTTTAAGTTATTTAAATTTTCGTTTTCGTAAAAATTATAAAAAAATAATGAAATTAAGATTTTTCTTGCGAATATTACGAAGAAAAATTTTTTAAAAAGATTAAAGTTTATTTTGTGGTAAAATCATGCAAGGACTTTGCCAGCAAAGCAATTTTTTAAAAGTATTAAAAATATTAATCCTATTAGCAAGAAATATCTATTATATATTTTTAATTATGAACATACGTTTAAAAAAAGATAAAATATTTTTTAAATACTATTTTAAATTTCTTACAGTTCAAATTTTTTGCTTTAAAGATATTTGAAGTTGCCTTTTCTTGTAGATATGTACTTACATACATAAACTTAATTTCTCCTTTTAAAACTTAATCTGTTAAGTATACAAATATAAAATCTGTAAACTAAGTATACAAATATTTCAAAAATATTTAACATCAAGGATAAATGAACACAAAATTATATGTTTGAAGCTTATAAAATGCTATAATCCCCTGCACAGATAATTATTAACGGTACCGGTAGACGCAAAAATAATATCTCATTGATAACAACTTGGTTGTTCTGTTTGTTAAATAGGAAATAGTCGTAACAACAATTCGCTTAAAGCAGGTATGTTTAAAGCATTTTGTGATGTATGATATTTTCAAAACGACTGTACACTGATATAACTGTGATCAATGAAATTTAGAAACTCAATGAGTGTGTTTTATTACACAAGCTTCTGTATAAAAATTTTAGTGTTTTTGAGGCGACTTATATCACATTATATGCACAGTGACTTTGTTCCGTTATCTCTTTCATTCATCTAAAAGCTGTTTTGTTCATCTAAAAAAAGTTATTTTGTTTTCCGATCAATAATTTAATGTAACACACATAAGCAATAATGTACAGAAATTTTAAGTAAACATAATTTGTTTTAATTTTGTAGAAACAATTATGTATGTATGTATGTCTAAAATGAAAACAAGTGTGTATATAATATTATATTGTTGGAAAATTATAAATTTTTTACATTTGACTACATTTAACTTATAATATTCATATTTTCTAACCGTTTCTGGCAACCTTTTGTATGTTGTAAAAAATAAGAACAAAAAGCAACATATTATTAGATCCATGAGCTATATCTGTTTTACCTGTGAATATACATATTTCTTACTGTACTGATGACGTATAATACTGTGGCCAATATAGAGCCAATATAGAGCGAGTATCTTTTCAACGCTCGTATTTCTTGACCCATATTTACCATGTTCACCAGAAAACTCCCTTATACATATATACATTTTACAACGTCCGTAATTCTATGTCTATCACTGTCTGAAACACATAGTTGTTAATATCCACATCCCGATCCTGTTTAACTTCTCTTTGTGTAGGATTAGCAAAGCTTTCGCTAAGATTTCAGGTTTCTGTTTTTATTATTAGGCTTTTTCATCCGGGTTTCATGACTGATTTCTGGTGGAGCATAGTTGTCATCACCGATTAGAATATCGCATAGCTTCTGAAAAGCGGTGTCTTCTTGTTTTGCATGTTGAAAGTGGGAAAATGTGTTTATAGGAATGAAACTTCAATGTTTGTAAAAAATTGTTATTGTTGCATCTCGGATGTAAAGTATTCAGACTAGGAAAACAGTTAATTATATGAGACTTTAATCAAACAATAAATATTTTTAATTTACCTACATACATATGTACCTTCTTAAAAACATACATATATATTTTTTTTACGACAATTATTGGCAAATATATGTACATATAAGTAGTTCTAATATTCAAAAATTGTTGTAATAGAAATCAGAAAGCTAATTTTTTTGTTTATTTCATTATGTGGAAAATTAAAAAAAAGAATTATAAAATTTTTCAGATGCCCTTCATGTAATCTTCTTTGCTTCTATAATTACAATAAATTCAAATTTATCTTCAATAAATTCACTGAAAATTTTTTTTTTAAATTAATATTTATTTTTTGTTTTTGATGATGCAAAATTAAATGTTAATTTTAATAATTATACTAAATTTGCCTTACCGTTTGTAACTTTAAACAATAATGGTTTGCAATGTAGATATAAGTGTATTTTTTGATCAGTGTTGAATTCTGTGTAGATTTACCCAACTAAATTGATTCTGAGTAGATCTACCCAGCTGCGATAACTCAAAAACTAATTGGGCTTAGCTCACTAATTTTCAAAAATGATTTAGAGTAGTGAATGCAGGAACTCTACTAAAATTGGGTATAATCAAGGAACTAGTTTTATTAGTAATTCTCAGAAATCGTAGAAGCTATGGTATCGAAATTTCGCATATAGTGTTTAAATTTAATAATTTTCTATAATTATGTTTCTAAATACTAAAATAATTACGTGAATAAAGCACCGTTATGTTTTTATAAAGTACTTTTAACTATTGAAGAGAAATAACATTACAAACCATTCTTTAAATTCGATTTTATCTCACTATACTTATATGTACTTGTTTATGTGTATCAATATGCTGCAGTATACATATTACATTATTATGCTGCAGTATACATATTACAAAAAAATGGAAAAGGAAAATTAATAAGCATATCTACATTTAGGTTTCAGGTTTCTTCTCATTTATAAATTATTGTAATTTATTTAATTATTTTTCATTTAGCCTGCATAATATTCTAGATTTCATTATTACTTTTTTTATTTGAAAGTGTTTTTTATATTTTTTTTATATAGAGTTTTAAATTTGGCTATGAGGTGGTGTTAATGGAGTCCAATTTTCTCCATTTCGAATACTCTCGTGGGATTTATTATTTGTATCAGTTCTTGCCGGACATTCTAATGTTAATACTGTTGTTGGTTCCTCTTCATTATTATAAAGTGATGTTGCTGATTCAGTTGTTACTTTAGCAGGTTCATTTGGTGTTTCAATTTGATGATTATATGCGCTTTAGTTATCGAAAAAAATATGTATACGTATATATATTTCTAATTTAAGTATTTGCATTTTATATAAGTGTACTCTTATTAAGTACACACAAAAAATTTTTGAACACTCACCTCATTTCTCCAACTAATGGAATGAATTCAGCAGTTTGATATGGGTACGAATTTTGATAAAGACTGTATTCAGTTCCACTGTGCCAAGTTGCAGAGTAGCCAATAGGTGCAGTATTTAAAACATTTGTATAAATTTGATGATTTGGGGAAGTTGGTGTAGGATGATAAATTTGATGACTACTACTATAGACCTGTGGAGGTGAAGGTGTTGCGTAGCTTTCATTTTGGTGGGAGAATTGATGTGAAGTTTGTGCCGATGTCAAATGATGTATTGTGTATCCTGGAGATGATGTATAATTAGGTGATCCTGTAGATGGGCTTGGCGACGCATTTGTAGCTGGAATAAAAGAGCCACAAAAAATTTTAATAAATAAATATCTTATGAGAAAATAAACTTGTTATTACTTATTGGACTAGCAGAATTTGATATTGCAGCGGGTGAAGTCCAATATGGAGTAGCTGTTGTTTGCCATGCTGCATAAGGATAAATGCTTCCAGTTGATCCACTTGAACTTGTTGCAATTGAAGGTTCGACTGGTAAAAATCCGGATTGGACTGATATTGGGGTAGGTTGTTGTTGGGCGGTGGGTGTACTTGACGCTTGAGGGTTAGGTGAAGGGGGTGTAGTAGAAGAATTATTAGTTTCTGGTGCAATTATACGAGGTCTTGTGTACGGCGTTGTCCGCAGTAATGGTCGGGTAGAATGACGAATATAGCGATCAGACGCATTCGTTGCTTGCTCAGCAGCTGCAGCATATGATGATGGTGGTGGTATATACCATCCATAATGTGAATTTTCAGTATAAATTGAATCGGGACGTTCTTTTGCATCTAAAAAGGCTTTTGCAAATGGATTGTACTTAATTTTCAGTGATGTTACTTCTTCATTCTGATAGGCAGTTACTGCTATAAATTGAGTCTCAGGAAAAGGATATGTAACAACATGTCTTTGCTCTTGCCGCTGTTCTGATTCTATACGTACTAAATGCACACGTGGTTCATATTTATGTAATGAGTTTAACATAATTTGTCCATTCCCATTTGTTTTATTTGTGAGTTTAACTTTAGCAAATGAAATAGCTTCTTTCATCCAGTGCGCTCCGAAATTTGGTGACTCTGGATGAACATATATTGGATGTGCTGGTGGTACTTCAGCTTTTCCACCTGGTACCCATTCTCCGTTGACATATTTCCATCTATGGTTGTCAATTTGAACAAATTCCAGAAGAACGGTGTACATAGCAGCTGGATCAAGTCCAGAAACTGTAACTTTAACCACAGGAAACATTCGACTGGAAAAATAAGTAATTTTTTTTATAAGTGAAGAAGAAAGTTAAACAGAATTTTGGAAACTTTTTCAAGCTTTAATTTAACTCACTAAATATTAAAAAGTTTATGGTATGTGAAATAGAGGCAAAAAACCATTTGTAGTTCAAGATTTTGAAGGTCTTAATAAATGTGTAAGTTCAAAAATTTATTGCTATTTTTGATTTTAATTAATTTTAAATACTATAATTTTTAATTATTATTGATTTTAAGCAGTTGACATTTTTAAGAAATGTTATTTACTTAAAAACTGAATGTTAATAATTTTATTGAAATCCAATACATTTTAGAGCAAATTTCGCATAATGTTACTTTTTTCCAACTTTTTTCTACAAATTCTTCCGAAGTAAGCTGGACTAAATTGAGCATACAGACCTTGCCGACCAAGAGACTAGTTTGTTTTTCGAGTAGACCGGCAATCTCCGGTTACTGAATTTGGTCGAAGCACCACTGAAAAAGTTTATTCAAAGAGAAAAATTCAAAAAAATTTCATCAATACAGATTCTTCTTTAAAATTTATATATACATATGTATGTATTTAAAAAAAATCTTAATATTTGTTTTTTACTTACGAAAATGTTCAACAAATGATGTGAACTGCTTTTTAGATCGACAATTGTAATAAAAAATTAAGATAAAAAAAAATAGTCACAAATTCAATAAAAATCAAAAATAGTGACAATTTTGTGAGTTCCTAGGTTCTGCAAAGGCTCTTAACATCATGACATAGAAATAGTACTTTTTACATGTTTCCCGCACTATGTCGGAGTTTTTAATATTTAATAACTTTAATTGAAGCTTAAGTAGCTGTGCAAAATTTTATAAAAAAAAATCGAAAATTTCAAAAAATTTCGTATGAAATTATTGGGCAAGAGAAAACTAAAACAAATAACAAGTTTAAACGTTTCAGTCAGTATAAACCGACCGAATTATACCCTGCACCTTGACAATCTGAGTTTAAAAATTTGTTTTTGAAATATCTAGAATTAGCTTTCATTGCTGCATACCAAGTACCCGAACTTATCAAACAATTTTATAGAAACTACACGGATATGTCTGACCTATAATTGAACCCAAACACGTGAAGCTTCAGGGATATAGATTCCATCAAAACTTCAGGGATATATCGGACCTGTAAGTGGACACACGACTGACAATACGAAATATATACGAAATTGTGCAGCAGTTCCATTTAAGTTTTCAGAACATATGTGCAAAATGTTATAAGACACACCTTCGCAAAATTTGGTATTATCTCTATTATTATTGAAATATTCAAAAAAAATCTCTTTGAGTTTTATGGCAGCTACCCGATCCCGTTTTTCGAATTTCTCCAATCACAAGAGCAGTTGTCCTTGGCAGAAAAAAAAACAATTTGAGAAAGTTTGGATTCCGTTACATTATTCGTTTTTAAGTTACCGTGCTATTGGACGGACATGTCGAAATCAACGCAGAATTTCATGGTAAGCAAGAACATGTCCGTATCGGAGACGACTCCTACAAGTGGTTACAAACTCTATACCAAAATGAATAAATTCTTCACGAAGGTGCAGGGTATAAAAAAGGGAAAAAACTTGATTTTTTGTTAAGATCTAATGCTTGGTTTTCCGAAAAAACATAAATATAAAATCAAATATTTTGTTGCTTGATGTCCTTTCTAAAATAATCACTCAATTGGATTAGTGTGAAAATATGTTAATTTCGGCTATTTGTCAATTGTAGTGAAGAAGAAATATTGGTGCCGTGTATTTAAATTACATCGTATTTTAAAGTTCGGTGAACTTCGTCATCGGTTTTATATAAAAAATAGCCGACCGCAATGTGTATTGTCTAGTTAAGTGAAAGTTTTACAGAAGTTTATAAAAATGCCTTTTTAAAACTTCTTTCCAATTTTTAGGGCGGTAGTATGCTTTTTGTTAATAAACCTAGAAAAATGTAAATTTAGCTCTTAGTAGAGTTTCGCTTTGTGGCATACGAATTCCCTTCCGTTCTGTAGATATGGTACAAAATGTAAAATCGACAAAAATATGGGCAAAATTCTAAAATTGGCCCGCAAAAAAGGCCAAAAAAAAATTACTTATAAAATTTCATGAAAATTGGTGGCACCGAACTTGAGATACAACATAAACAGACAGACAGACCGACACCTCTCTAAAAATAGTTTATTTATGCTTACCTACTAAGGAGAAGTGCGTTCCCACCGAAAACTCGATATGCAAAATTAATTGCCATCACATCACCTCCCTTATTGTACGCAATGCGGTCGGTAAAAATTGTATGTATGAAAAAGTAACCAAAAAGTAGGACTGCGGCTACCCGCATAACCGTTGCACAACAGTTTGGAAGGAATCTTTTCTAGATTTATAAATGCGATGGAAAATTCCAGATCGGGACATAGAAAAACCTACACATCGAAATTACAAGGACTTCAGTCTGAGAAAAACCTTAGCATTGAAATTACAAATTGACTTGTTACATTTATTTTATATAGTAAATTTTTTGTTAACGTTAAGTTAAAAGGAATTGTTGAATTTGTTAATATAATATTTGAGGATAAAAAAGAAATCTGTGTTAATAACTATTTTCATATATACATAAAATAACGTTTTCGAATAATAAAAAAATCAGTGAAGCGATGCATATCACCCCTACAAAGAAGGACTAACGGCGCTAGTTCAAAATATCAAGGACTGGTGGAAATTACAACTTGCAATATATTCAACAGATAAGTTGAAATTTCTTTTACATATTTTATATCAAATAATATATACATATCTATATATGCTCTAATGAGTCTTAATTTTTAGGTTCAAATGAAAACTTGTGCAAGCGGATGCATGTCGAATTCATTAGATAAATACGAGTATATATTAATTTTAATGTGAATTTTGTATTTTTTGTGTTTTGTTGTTGCTTTATTTTGTTTTATTTTTTTTGTTGTTGATTTGAAGCTTCTATCTTTTTCGAAAAGGAAGTTATAAATAAAAAAAAATTGGACAAGTACAAATTTCAAATCAATGTAAACGCAATGCAAGCAATTTTGCAACCTTTCAATTCAAAGTTTTAAATTACTAAATGTTTGAGTAAATGTATATAAGTCTGTGTTTACTTGGCTTTTAAACTTTTTCTCCATAGATAAAACATCCAAACCAATTGGAAAATACGATACATACATACATACATTCATGCACTGTGTTGATAAATAAATAATTGAATAGTTACAGCTACATAAAGTATAGAGACGTATTACAGACAAACGTGAACTTAATATTTATTTGTACTCCTTTTGAAATTTAATAATCTATGTATTTTACAATATTTTATTATAGTTCAACCAATATATGTACATATTTAAACATGTTTGTATGAATATAAGACATGCATGCAAAGAAGCATCAGATTTACACTTAAAAATAAGTGATATTTCAAAATTAAAATTTTGATTCGTACATTGGTACCTAAAGTAAAAAGCGTTACGCTGTGCGAGTATCTGCTCATAAAAATTAAATCTATATTGTAAGTTTTCAAGGAGTTTTAAAATTTATTTTTTATTGATAAAAATTAAGTTTCCATATTGTGTGTTGGAAAATAAATTATTTAAAAATTCTAATAAAATTTTTTTCAGTATTGTACACACTGTGATACATTTGCAATATGCATTTGATAAAGACGATCTTCTTCTGCCGTGAAGAAATACAACAAATAAAAATAATAGTAAAATAATAATTAAAAACTTTAGTTTAAAAAAGGTGATAAATAAATTAGTCTAAAAAGAAAAAGACGCTTTAAGGTTACTGTTTATGATATTGAAACAATAGACATATCTTGAGATACATCTAAGTGTAATTAAAGCCTACGTATAAAGATTTGAAAATGAATAATGGTGAACGAATAATCAATTGAAGAGTTATACAAAAACAAATTGAAAATAGTTAGAGTTTATTTGCTAACTAAGATATGAATGCTAATTAATAAAAGAAGAGAATATGTATGAATATTTTCCGCTGCAAATACTTACATACATATGTTTATATAAGAGTTTGTATATAGGAAATTTTGTATTTTAAAAATAAAAGTAAAAGATCAAATGCAAAATATCAAATATTTGAAACATGTACATACCAAAAGTTATACCTATAGTACTTGATAATACTTTACAACTACACCATACCATTTGTTTTGCTTTTAATTTTGAAATAAAGTTGTGTCAAACCAATGATTTGTATTGTAGCAATTCTTCCTTCAACAAGTGAAAATACAACTTTTCAAAACAATCTATGTACCTGCTGTACTGTTAAAAATATTTTCATTCGTATACGAAACTAATTCAGAGATCGCGCAGTCCTCTAACCTAAATATCAACTTTTTATGTATAAACTCATTTTCCATTTTATCCTCATTTAACTTTGAAATTAAGTAAAAATAAATTTAAAGAGGGGTTAACATAATGCTCGATTTTAAGGGTTAATTGCGTGAGTTAAGATAACTAATTATATTTTTTAATGATATTCAATTTACCGTTAGTTTTCTGCATTTATAAAAAATGGGAAAAGCTTGCGGTTTAGCAAATATAAGGTACAAAAAATTCAAATTTTACAAATTTTCAGAGGAAATAACTTGAGAGCGGATGGAGGTGGGAAACAATTTTCTTCTAATGAAATGGATTATTTATTAGTGTCTAAAAGCTGTTCAAATTTTAGAATTTCACAATCTGGGGTCTAGAAAAAAAACGGTACCAAAAATTTGGAAAAAATGGATTTTAGATATCGGGCAATTTTAACAGCCATTTTTTTTTTTCCAAATATAGTACGCTGCGGTAGAAGGAGCAAGTAACTATTTTTCTGCTTTGGCAAAATTTGAAAAATGGTTATGGTTTCACTGCAATTAATAGTTAAAAAATGCCATTTTTAGGGTTTTGGTGGTGTATAACTTTTAAAGGGGTGGTGATAGGTAAAATTTTTGTTTCTGAGGAATGAGTTTCAACTTATTGAAGATTTTAGAAACATAGAATTTCATTTTCACTATATTTTCAAGGGTGTAGAAGTTTTGCAAACATGTCCACGGACGGACGGATAGAGTGAAACTAACAAGCGCTTTTTTCAAAAATTTTTTGAAAAAGTGCTAACAACAAAAGTTTGTTAATTAAAATATTGTTTGAAAATTTTTAACGAAATAACATTTTCTTCTAGTTCTGGAAAAATATACTTTATATAAAAATTATAAAAAATATACTTTGTATAAAGTTTGCTGTACATAGTGCGGGTACATGTAATTCTTATATCCCAAATTTTGCTTTTAAGATCAAAAGGCGGAATGAAAAATATTAAGCTAAGACATTCAGCATTTCACTATTCAGAAATGATGATCAAAGGAAAACAAAACTATTAAATCAAACAAAGTAAAACTTTAAACTTTATTCACATCTCTCTTTATAAAATTTAATTTATATTCGTACCTCTTTCTATACCCTCGCAAGCATTTTAAAATGTGATTTTGTATAACAAAAATTGTTCAATTCTGTACTTTGCTTCTGCAAATTAAACAAATTTAATAAAAAATATTGTTACTTTAAATTTTTTTATTATAAAAATATATTGTGATTTTAACGTTTTCATGAAATTTATTGAATTCTGGCCCAAAAGTAAAAAAGGAAATTTTCTTTGAAAAATTACAGCGAAAAATAAATAATAAACAAATAATAATAAATTTTTATACCCGTACGAGCGTATTTTCGAAGGGTATACTAAATTTGCTTTATCATTTGTAAAGCTAAGAAATAATAGTTTGAGATATAGACTCAAATGTATATGTTTTTGATCAACGACGAATTCTGGGTCGATTTATTTTTGTCTGTCCGCCCTTCCGCCCTTTTGTCCGTTCGTCTGTCCGTCCTAACGAAAATATTGGAAACACAGTACTGAAATTTTGCATGAATTAATATTGTAATAAGACAACTTAAAGTCGTGTTCCGTCCAATAGTCAGCTAAGGCATATTTACTCGCTCATAGGATAACAAATTTGTACGTGTATCACAGAGTTGACACGGTCAACTCTATTTTTTCTCGTTTTTATCGAACACATTGACCCTACTAATATATTTGCTTGTGTGATATTTCAATATCACAACTTTTATAGTTTCTGAGGTATAGTCAAATAACTTTTGAAGATGTATGGCAGCTACCAGAAGCAGCAAAGCAATTTTATCGAATTTTATCGAACACATTGACCCTACTAATATATTTGCTTGTGTGATATTTCAATATCACAACTTTTATAGTTTCTGAGGTATAGTCAAATAACTTTTGAAGATGTATGGCAGCTACCAGAAGCAGCAAAGCAATTTTATCGAATTTTATCAAACACATTGGCCCTACTAATATATTGGCTTGCGCGAAATTACAATATCACAGCTTCTACAGCTTCTGAGATATAGCCGAATAACTTTTAATGTTGTATGGCAGCTACCAGAAAAAGCCAAGCAATTTCAACGAATTTCATCAAACACATTGGTCCTACTAATATATTCGCTTGTGTGAAATTTCAATACCATAGCTTTTATAGTTTCTGAGATATTGTCAAATAACTTTTGAAGTTGTATGGCTAGTACCAGAAGTAGCAAAGCAATTTCAACGACTTTTATCAAACACATTGGCCCTACTAATATATTCGCTTGTGTGAAATTTCAATACCATCGCTTTTATAGTTTCTGATATAGAGCTAAGTAAATTATAAAGTTGTATGGCAGGTACCCGAACCGGTACCCTGATCTCCAATTTAAATGGGGTTCTGGCACTTACTACAATAAATCATTTGTGAAAATTTGGTGAACTTAGCTCAATTAGTTTTTGAGTTATCGTTGGAAAATCAGAATTCGACGCTCATCAAGATATACACTTGAGTCTATATCTATTTCTTAGCCATTATTTCTTAGCGTTACAAACGGTAAGGCAAATTTAGTATACCCTTCGAATATACGTTCGTGCGGGTATAAAAATCTGATGTGTTCAACACATAACCTACCGCAATGTATATTGTCTAAATTAGTAAAAGTATTCCAGAAGATTATGAAAATGCGTTTTAAACACTTCTTTACAACTTTAAGAACACTAATAAGCTTTCAGTTAACAGTTGTTTCTTAGTAGAGTTTCATTTTGTGCCGTCCAAATTATACAAAAAGTTCGTCAGAAACTTGTGATAACAACCAGAACTTAAATATTAAATTTCAAGAAATTCCATCAGTTCGTGCCGTAGATTTGGTCGTTCCGAGCCCTGATCTTACCAAAAAACTCATAGATTCATTGTTTTACCACCTCGAATTTAAATATTAAATTCCAATAAAATTGGTTGGCTATTTATCTTTATAAACGAGGCCTGATATATTCCAAAAGTTGATCGATCCGTGACACAGTCGAAATAAACTTATATATAAAATTTCATCAAAATCGGTTCAGCCGAACTTGAGATGCACACGTGGCCGCACAGACAGACAGACCGACACCTTTCTAAAAATAGTTTAATTACGCTACTATGCAGAAGTGCGTTCCCGCCGAAAACTCGATATGCAAAATTTGATACCATCACATAACCTCTCTTATTGTATGCAATACGGTCGTTAAATATGACGGCTTAATTGATAAAACATTATTGAAGATGTTGTATATAGACTTCGTTCTTGAACTAGAGTATAAATTTTAAACTATAGGATTTTTGTGGGATTTTCTTAACCAATAAATATTACAACAAAATATATATATATATGAGCAAAATATGTAAAAAAGAAAAATAAAATCTGTATCCAAGAAAAGTCAAATGTAAAACTAAAAATCGTTTTCATTGTGAATTATACACTTAAAAATGTATATTTAAATATATATAATGAATATTCATGGTCAATAAAAGTATTTCAAAATCTATAGAAAATGTTAAATAAACATAAAATTTATTACCGTCCATTCTTTGTAACAATCATTTCATTTGTCAAATTTTGAAACCGCATCCATAATTCTCTGTCGTCCAACGAAACATGCAAATTTCTATCAACATCAGGACTTGATTGGTTATGATGGCGTGCACCTAAATTTGATGTTATCACAGGATCTACAGCAGAAAGAATGTGTGATGTTGTTGTTATTTCATCTGAAATATTTTAAAAATTTATTCTGATTTTTGTAAAATTATTTTCAAAATTCATATAATATATATGTAACTTGAAAATTTTATAACGAGTATTTTATAAAGATTTGATCCATTTTAAAAACATTCAACTTGCGGCCCAAATCGGTTTTAAAAGGGATCAGACATAATTATTTAGAACATAATTGTAAATTTTAAAAAATAATTTTTTAACTGCTACTAAAAGTTTCATTTTTGATAACTTTTTTGAATTTCGAATTTGAAGTTAAAAATTTTTTTTCATTTTTGAATTTCGAATACTCTGTCCGTCCGTCCGTCCGTTCGTCCGTCTGTCCGTGTGCCAGTTTACAAAACTTCTACACCCTTGAAGATAGAAACTTGAAATATTATATTATTGTAACGAAACTAACTATGTGTTACGAAAATAATTTTCGTAACACATAATTTTTACTCTAAAAGTTATCCAACCCCCCAAAACCCTAAAAATGTCATTTTTCAACTGTTTACTGTAGTTGAACCATTTTCCAAATTTTACAAACGCAGAAAAGCAGTGGGAAGCTTCTTCTATCACAGCCTACTATACTTGAACTATAAAAAAACAAAATGGCCGTTAAAATTTACCGTTGCTTAAAATCCGCTTTTTTCAAATTTTTGATGTTGTTTTTCGCCTAGACCCCAGGATATGGGAGCCTGAAAGTTTAGTTTTTAGGCACTAACAAATATAGTTCATTTCTTTAGAAGAAATTTTTTTTCCATTTCCAGCCCCTCTCAAGTTATCGCCTCTTGAAATTTGTAAAATTTGAATTTTTGACGCCTTATATTTCCGAAACCGCAAGCTTTTTAAGTTTCATGACATTAAAAAAAAATCTGATGTGGTCAGCACATAACCGACCGCATTGTGTATTATCTATTTAAATGAAAGTGTTACAGAATATTATAAAAATGTCTGTTAAATACTTCTTTCCAATTTTTAGGACATTAGTAAGCTTATAGTTAACATACCTAGAAAAATGTAAATTTGGCTCTTAGTAGAGTTTCGCTTTGTGCTACCCGAATTCCCTGAAATGCTCGCCAGTTAGTTTCGGTAACAACCAGAACTCAAATATCAAATTTCAAAAAATTCCATCAATTCGTTCCGTTGATATGGTGAAAATGTAAAATCGGCCCGCAGATCAGTTTTCGAGCCCTGATCTTTCCAAAAAATTTACATGTTCATTGTTTTAATACGAGCAATGCATATAATAAATTTCAATGAAATCAGTTGATTATTTCTCTTTATATACACAAAAATATATATTTGGCCCGTAGTAAACGTCTAGTTGCCGATGCCTGATTTCTTCCAAAACATAGGAATTTTCGCGGACGGTCGAGCTGAGCTTATATATAAAGTTTCAAGTAAATCGGTTGAATATTTTCTTCAAAATGTTCAAAAATGTAAAACAGGCCCGCAAATCAGTTTTCGAGCCCTGATCTTTATAAAAAATTTATATGTTCATTGCTTTAATACGAGGAATTCATATAATAAATTTCAATGAAATCAGTTGATTATTTCTCTTTATATACACAAAAATGTATATGTGGTCCGTAGTAAACGTCCAGTTGCTGATGCCTGATTTTTTCCAACAGCTAGGAATTTTCACGGACGGTCGAGCAAAGCTCATATATGAAATTTCAAGTAAATCGATTGAATATTTTATTCAAAATGGTGAAAAATGTAAAATCGGCCCGCAAATCAGTTTTCGAGCCCTGATCTTTCCAAAAAATTTATATGTTCATTGTTTTAATACGAGGAATTCATATAATAAATTTCAATGAAATCAGTTGATTATTTCTCTTTATATACACAAAAATGTATATTTGGCCCGTAGTAAACGTCTAGTTGCCGATGCCTGATTTCTTTCAAAACATAGGAATTTTCGCGGACGGTCGAGCTGATCTTATATATAAAGTTTCAAGTAAATCGGTTGAATATTTTCTTCAAAATGTTCAAAAATGTAAAACAGACACGCTAAAAAGTGCAGTTCCCGAGGCCTGATATATACCAAAAGTTTATCAATCCGTGCCATGGTGGAAATAAACTTACATATAAAATTTCATCAAAATCGGTTCAGCCGAACTTGAGATACAGGCGTGCACACACAGACCGACAGGCCGACAGGTTGCTAAAAATAGTTTATTTACACTTCCCTACTATGGAGAAGTACGTCCCCACCGAAAACTCCATATGCAAAATTTGTTGCCATCACATAACCTACCTATTGTTTACACAATACGGTCGGTAATATAATTATTTTTCTTAACTCACGCAATTAACCTTTAAAATCGAGCATTATGTTAACCCCTTGCTTTATTTCAAAAATTGTATAAACTATTCATCCTAAATATATGCAATCCTTCAAATAGTTCCGTATATGAATGAAAATAATTTTAATAGTGTGGTTTAATTTTAATATTGTAGTGTGCAGTTTAATTTTCACTTGTTGAAGGGAAAAGTGTTACAATACAAACCATTGGTTTGACCCAACTTTATTGTATGGAGCGCGTTCATAAAAAAAGGGAAAAAGCAAAATTAAAACCGATTTTGAGGGACCTGGAATCACAATTTGACGTAAAAGATCAATAAACGACAAAGTATTACTTTTTTTCAATTATTAAACAAATCTATTCATTTGATTTTCTAATCTATTTGCAATCTATATGAAATATTTAATGAAATGAAATTAAATATTTTGGCATTTTTGTACATTACAATTTGACTATAAATATAATAATTTTAATATAATAATTTTTTTTGGGAGACAAAATTTATAAATTAGGTTTTTGTTTGTTGATCAAGCTTGCGTAAAGTTTATAACGCAGCGATTGCTGATTTATTTGCCGCAAAATTTGTTTAAATTCTGGAAAATCACATTGGATCTTAATAATATTACTTGATTTTTTCAACGCTTTAATGTTGATGTTTGGTGACAAAAATCCAAATATCCTTTTTAAGCACATAAAAAATTTAAGAAAAGTGCTATTAAGTTTCCCTCTATCTATTAGCTTGTCTGGTTACACGCTTTGAGAAATTTTTTCTATGTTTCTCTTATTTTATAATAACTACTCATAGTTCTAAAACTGCCATTTATTGACTATTTATATAATAGAAACAAGAAACCCTTTTTGAATTCAGCAAACGCAATAAAGATACTTACTTTTTCTACCTAGAAACAGTATAATTGAACATTGAAATTACAAAATGGAATACTTAATTACTTATATAAAAATTTACTTATAATAAAAATTTACTAATAATAAAATTCATTCTCGAAACTTATACAAATTCTCATTTAAGCAGGTTTAAAAACAAAGAATTTATATTTATTTATGTATTTTTTACAGTAAGATGTCTGAGAATAGTATATGTATTATAAATTTTAAACTTAATAAACTATAGGATAACTAAAAATTAATATTAAATAAAAAACAATAATTTTATGAATGTTATGTTTTTTAAGAGAGTTGTTCTGCAGACTGATATTCAGTTTTTTTCCTAACAACTCATGATTTATAATGTATGTATTACATAACCACATATGTACATATAAAATTTAGTACACAAATATAGATGGTACTTAAGGAAATGATAGCAAATTAAAAAACTTCCTTGATTTTCTCACTATACATTTAAAGAAAAATTTGTTACATAAGGTATATATGTATATTGTACATATATTCTGGAAATTTAAGAATTTCTACATTTGTCTTTGCAATACAAAAAATTTTGAAATTTCTTAAAGGTCTATGAATGAAAATTTGTCTTGCAAATTTCTGTCTTTAATAATTCCAATTGTTTTAAATTAAAAATCTGTGTCTTTTAATGATTCTTACATATTGCAAGTTTTTATAAGATCTCAAAAGGATTTTGTTCAACAAAATTTTTCCACATTAACTTTAAAATTTTGATAAATTATGACGCAAAACTATATGTGAATACATTAAATTTTATTTATTTGCAAAGTTATATTATTAAGTTCTATAATACATACATATATGTATATGAATATATAATGTAAATATATATGCAAAGTATAGTTTATGTACACAATATGTAAATTTGAATATTTTAATATTAAAGAATATACAAAAACATTTTGTAAACATATGTACATATGTTGAAAATTAAACACGTATATTTATACCTTCATTTATACCTCATATGTATAAGAAGCTGTTGACAAGTGTATATATTATATGGACGTGAATATTATGTATATATACAGTATTGGTCAAAACTAAAGCAACCCCAAACGCATTATTTATGTTTTTTAGTAAAAAACCGTAAAAATAAAAGCTAAAAATTGGTTTCCTTCCTATTTTTATTTGTTCAAATATTAGAAAAAAAAATTAAAAACATAAAAAAAATACTAATTAAGGAACAAGCTTTTTTGCCCGATATACTTTTGAAAGTACGAAGATTGGTTGGACAAAACAAAAGCAAACTTTAATTTTTTTCTTGGAAATACTAAATAAAAAGTAAATTCAAAACGTTTGAAAAAATTTTTTACACAAAACGTATGTATATTTTTAACTAAACATTGCATAAAAATTCTATTGATTTAATACAAAACAGTTGATGAATACACTGCTAGTCTTTTAGATTTAGTATTTAATTTTATAATGGTAGTACAATAAAGTATATAGTGAGTTTAGGAATAATACTTATTAACGAATTTTAATAGGGATTATCTCGCTATAAATTAAGTGCAGAATATTCAATTAATGTCTCAATAATTTCACGAACAATTAAAAAATATCAATCAATTGGCACTATACATGTTGAACATTCTAAAGGTAGACCTAGAAACCCTGCACCACAGCAGGACTACTTAGTAAAAACCGCTGTGGTAGAGAACCCTGAGATGCTGAGCAGACAAATTAAATTTACCGATATCTGCTAAATCTCTTAGAAAAAAAGGCTGTAGACCTCGGAATTTTAATTCGCTGCCGTGCCAAAAAGCCTC